GGACAGAGGCCTCATCACCACCTGAAGATGTCCACATGATCATATCCAGAACTTTTAATTGGAAGAATCTTTTGAACTTTGGGGGGTGGGAACAATTCCATCACTTTGTATATGTGATCTGCGTGCCTAATTTCATAGATTCAGAATTTTACCTGAAGCTACCACTTCAATTTTCAGTAAAAGATTTCTTTCCTCTAATCTATGGAGTCTAAGTATTTCTTTCTTGGATTTTGAATGGAGCACAGACTGACACCTAGTCACCCAGCCATCTTTCATGCCTAAGGTGGGACTAGAATTCAGAGATTCCTGGTGATTGACCCAAAATCCTCCAGCCACTTCTCATGCTTAAGGCAGGACTAGATCTCACAGTCACCTGGTGATTGGCCCAAAGTCACCCAGCTGTCTTTCATGCCTAAGGCGGGACTAGAACTCCCAATCTCCTGGTTTCTAGGTTAAGCACTAGACCCTATCTTCAAAATGGAACGAATGAATACATAAACAGAGCTGGGTAGGGGTGGCTGACTTACGCAAATGAACCAGTCTTGACTTCCCTGAATCTAAATGGTTCGGTTGGATTAGAGGAGCAAAGGAAACAGCCAAGATTTTCTTGGTCTCCCAGGCGGAAGGGCCTGTTCGAGTAATCTTCGTCAACTGTACGGAACGACAAAAGCAGAAGGTGAAACGTGGGCTATAGCAGACGTCACCAAACACTCCCACCCCCCGAAACACACAGACTTCTCTGCCTCAGACGTTGCAAACGTGTCCCTGGCTAAACCTAAAACCCAGCAGTTGTACTGGTCGCAATAAACTCCAGCTGCCAGAAGTCTTAGCCATGGCCTCATTGCCTAAGGAATCCTGGGAGTTGCTCTACATACCTGGAAGTTGCAAAGATTGGTTATGGTGGGCTGTATACTACACTTTGTCAAACTCAACAGTTCAAAGTTGGGTGGACTTCAACTCCCAGAATGCTCTAGACAGCATGCTGGCTGGGGGAATTCTGGGAGTTCAAGTTCCGTACCTTAAAAAGTTGTGGAGGTTGAGATACACTGCACCATACCAACACTTCTCAGCAAGCTATTCCTCCCCAGTGATGTCAGCTAGCTCAGGGAATGGGAATGATGGCCCCTTTGTGACTTGTGGACTTCAACTCCCAGAATTCCCCAGCCAGCATGGCTGGCTCAAGAATTCTGGGAGCTGCAGTCCACCAGGCATATAAAGAGGCCATCGTCCCCCAATCCTGAGCTAAAATTTAGTACAAAGGTGTTTCCCCTCTACTATTACAGGCAGTCCTCAATTTACAACCATTCTTTTAGTGATTGTTCCAAGTTACAACGGCACTGAAAAAAGCGACTTGCAACTTGGTTCCCGTCATGGTGCTATTCAACTGGGGTAACAACTGGTTTGGTGAGCGCACGCTTCTGCCGTGTGAATCAGCTGTGCTCTAAAACAACGAAATAAAGCAATAGAAAAGAGCAGGGGTGGGTGGGCGGGGCCAAATGCTCACTGGAACTACTGGTTCGCCCGAACTGGTCCTAACTGGTAGAATCCCACCCCTGGTCTCTGTACTCACGACTGTCACAGCATCCCCCATTACTGAGTCTGCCATCTGCACCTCTATAACTGTCTGGTTTGGTTCTGCAACCCAAAGGACAGACACAGACTTCAGAGAGTAATTAGGACTGCAGAAAAAACAATTACTACCAATCTGCCTTCCATTGAGGACCTGCATACTGCACGAGTCAAAAAGAGGGCTGTGAAAATATATCCAGACCCCTCACATTCCGGACATAAACTGTTTCAACTCCTACCCTCAAAACGATGCTATAGAGCCCTGCACAACAGAACAACTAGACACAAGGACAGTTTCCCCCCAAAAACCTGCTAAACAAGTAATTCCCACAACACTGTCCAACTATTTACAAAGTCTGCACTACTATTACTATTAACCTTCTCGCCACTCATCACCCATCCCCGCCCACTTGTGACTGTATGACTGTAAATTTGTCGCTTGTATCCTTACGATTTATATTGACTGTTTCCTAGTATGATTTGATTGCTTATTGTACCCTATGACTATCATTAAGTGTTGTACCTGATGATTCTTGACTCTTGACGAATGTATCTTTTCTTTTATGTCCACTGAGAGCATTTGCACCAAGACAAATTCCTTGTGTGTCCAATAACGCTTGGCCAATAAAGAATTCTATTCTATTCATGTGAGCAAAATTCAGGCACCTGGCAACCTTCTTGTATTTATAACAGTTGCAGTGTCCCAGGTAACCTTCCAAGCTGGCTTCTGACAAGCAAGTCAATGAAGAAGCCAGATTCACTTAACAACTGCCTGATTTAGAAAGTGAAATTCTATTCCCAATTATGGTTCTAAGTCGAGGACTACCTTATGACTACAACTGAGCCCAACATTTATGTTATTAAGTGAAAAAAAGATGTGAATTTGTCCCATTTTGCAAATTTTCCTTGCCATCTTTGTTAAGGGAATCACCACCATTGTTGAAGTAGTAACCCGGTTGTGAAGTGAATCTGGCTTCCCCATTCACTTGGCTTGTCAGAAGGTTGCAAAATGACTCCTGAGCATGGCAACTGTCAGAAATAGGAGTCACTTTGTCAAGCATCTGGATGCAAATCGCGTGAACCTTGGGATGCTGCAATGGTTGTAAAGTGTGGAAAATGGTCCATGAGCAGGGATGCGCTGCTACCCATAGCTAATGTTATGGCCAGTTCAGTGAACCGCCAAATCCCGACCCTGGCTGGCTCCGGCCACCCCTCCCAAAAGTCGGGTCCCCCTGGCCCATTTTGGATGCGAGGTAAATGCAGGACGTGCGTGGAGGCTTGGGGAGGGCAAAAAGCGGACTTCCTGGAAGTTCTGGCCCGTTTCCGGCCTCCATAGGTCCTCTGGAGCCCGGGGGGAGACCGTTTTCGCCCTCCAAGAGGCTCGAGGGAAGCCTCCGGAGCCTGGGAAGGGCAAAAAATGCCCCCCTGCTTCCTGCTGTGGTGCAGGAGGCCGACTAGGCCACACCCACCCAGCAACTGGGCAGAGAACCGGTTGCTGAAATTTTTGAAGCCCTGGCCATGTCACTATTTTCAGTGCTGTTGTAGCTTCAAACGGTCACTAAATGAACTGTTGTAAGTTGAGGACTACCTATACCGCATTATCCCAATTTATATTGTACCTCAATCCTATTCTGAACAATTGACTCCTCCCTATCAAACGAAAGGTCCCATAATTTCAGCTTCATCTCTCTCCCTCTCTCCCACTTGGCTTACTCCTTCTCTAGGTCTCACCCTCTCCATCCTCCCAGCCATCTTAGATCTGTTTAATCTCTCCGGGGCTCTTTCGTTTGTTTCTTGGCAGCCCGGATAGCAAAGCTCACTCTTTATGGAATTGACCGGACTCAAAAACAGTTATCGGAGACGACCAAAGGCACCCATCAACCACCAGCAAACCTTCTCCTCCAGGGGCATGACGAGAATCCCCCCGACTTTCAGCAAGTTCTTCATGTAATCTTCGTGCTCCTTCTGGACGCCGGCTCCGCAGTAGACGCGGTCGTATTGAGAGCACTCTGGAGAGATTTCTAAGCAGTTTCCAGAGACGAAGGACGGCTCGCAGAACTCAAACCTCAGAAGGGAGGAAGGAAGGAAGGAAGGAAGGTGGGTTGTGAACGAGACTTTCAACACAGCACGAGAATTCAACGGCGACAGCAGTTTATTTTAGATTTTTTAAAAAAATCTCACCTTTTACAAATAACTCAAGATGGCGAACATACCTAATACTCCTTTCTTTTCCTGTTTTTTCCCCAACAACAACCCTGTGAGGATGGATGGGCTGAGAGAGAGGAGGGGCTGGTCCACAGTCATCCAGCTGGGCTTTCGTGCCTAAGGTGGAACTAGAGCTCACAGTCTCCTGGTGATTGGCCCAAAGTCACCCAGCTGGTTCCCATGCCTATGGAAGGACTAGAACTCACAGTCTCTTGGTTTCTAGCCTGATGCCTTAGCCAGTGTATCAAACTGGTTGATTTGGTTCATACACAGGGTTAGAGTAAAAAGAAAAAAAATAAACATATTACATTAAACATAACCCTGGGAACATAGCAGATCTTAACCTCTCAGAACCCCAAAGACAGTGGTTTTTTTTTTCTTCTTCTTACTTGGGTTGCTCAACAAGAGTCTGCCGAATGAGGACAACCTGGACCTGTTTTGGGTTCACTTCCTTCTGAAACTAGGAATTACTGTCTGAAGGGTAGGACTTTTTCTGAAAATCTGCTTTAATGCAACCTAAGTGGCCCCCTCATCTTACTTGTCAAAGCTGTCACTTGTTCTGATGAAGAATTCCAGTTTCTGCTTTGCATATTCTATAACGTCAGCATGAAGCTCTATGCCATGATTTATTCCAAAAGGACCTAGAGGTTTAAGGAAGGCAAAGAGACAGTTACAAAAGGCAAGAAAAATACAGACTGAGTTCAACCAGCTTGAAAAACAAACTAAGGCAGAATGATTGCAATTGCATTGGCCTATAACGGGCAGGTACTCATTTAAAGCCACATATAAATACATTCTTTAGTTTTATTTACTAGTAGAATTGAATTATGTAGTGGGTAAAAAGAGTACCTGGGAAGATCCTGGAAAAGTAATTAAAAAAAAAAAAACAGATCTGCAAACAACTAGAAGCAAACAAAGTTATATCTAGTAGCCAGCATGGGTTTGTTAAAAACAGATCATGCCAAACCAATCTTATTTCATTCTTTGATAAAGTCACTAAATTAGTAGACCAGGAAATGCTGTGGACATAGTATAACTTAGATCTCAGTAAGGCATTGGACAAAGTAGACCACAATCTGCTTCTGGGTAAGCTAAAAAAAATGTGGAATAGGCAACATCACCACCAGATGGATTTGTAGCTGGCTGACAAACTGTACTCAACGAGTAGCCCTTAAGGGTACTACATCCACATGGAGAGAAGTAAGCAGTGGGGTACCACAAGGCCCCCTCTTAGGCCCAGTTACTCTTCAACATCTTTATAAGTGACTTAGATGAGGAAATGGAAGGGGAACTCATGATCCAAAAAGAAGCTTCTTGGATGAGAAGAGAAACGTTTTCAGAGGAAAACAACAAAAGCAAGAAAGTCCAGTTGCCTTTTGGAAAAGCATCTTTGGGGATAGTACAGGTAGCCCTCAACTTATAACCAAAATGTCCACTGCAAAGCAAGGGGGTGGTTAATTGAGGTGCCTCCGATTTTACGACCTGCAGTTGCTAAGTGAATGACACGGTTGTTAAGAGACACAATGGTCACAAGTGAAGGACTACCTATATGGAATAACTAACATGGAAAAATTCTTTGTATTTCACTGAAAAAACCAGTGAGGAAATGTAAGAAGATGACACATAGAGGGATGGGGGGGGGGGGGGGGAGAAAAGACAGATGCAGAAAATGTAATTTTGATATTTTTCCTCTCATTTTTTATAGTTTCACATTTTATTAGTTTCTCAAAATATAAAATACCAAAGAAAATAAAACCAATGAGAAAAGTGGCTTTGAACTGTTAGCTTTTCTTTACTTTTCTCTCTCACTTTGCTAATCCTGAACAGAGAGACTGAAACTTGTTGGCTCTTTTCGTACAGCACAGACAACATTCTTAGGATTTGAACTTGCTGTTATTCTGTTCGTAATAATCTCTGCAGGTGTTTGTGTGTCACCTAGACCTGTTTTGCTCTGCTGTGCTGACGTACAAAGTAGGGAAAAACAACAATTAATGATTCAGACTAGGAATGGCTGCAGTTTTTCTCCGCTTTTCAGAACCTAACTGGGATAATAGCTTGAATCTACAGAATGAACATCTGTTAAGAGGGAAATTAAATGAGACATCCAGGGGCATCTAGCTAACACAATGCCTGCGATCCCCTCATTTCTGCAATAAGCGAAGAAAATGATGTATTTCTGCAAGACGGAGAAACTCCCTTTAGCCTAGCCTGTGAAAGGAACTTAAAGCCATAAAAAGCATACATGCATATACTCACTTGTTAGATTAATCTCAGGAACGCTGTAGGGTTTATTCTTTATTTGCCTTCCTATTAATAAACTGATTCTGGCTTCCAATGCAGCTGATCAAATGATTTTAAAAGTAAAATCTCCCAGCCGGGAAATTTGAATCCACAAAGGAAAGAACTTTGCCTTTTTCCTTAAAGGGCAAGGCTTCCTTTTTCTTTCCTCACATATACATTTATATTCACAGAAGAGAATATTTGTAGCTCAGGGTTGAAGTGTGGGGTCCTTGGTGCTCTCTGAGTTTGGCTGTTTTCTGGCAGACAAACAAGCTAACCATAAACAACAGCCCAATTAAGGAACCACCAAGAAAAACTCTCATCATCCTTGATAGGGATGCCTGCTATTTGCCTTTTTAGACCGCTGTTTTCACCTTTATGTCGATGGAGATTCTCAAAAGGTGCTTTTTAACGGAGGCAACTGGACTTTCTGGTTTTTCTTTGAAGTCATTTCGCTTCTCATCCAAGAAGCTTCTTCAGCTCTGACTGAAGAAGCTTCTTGGATGAGAAGCGAAACGTCTTAAAAAAAAAACCTAGAAAGTCCAGCTGCCTCTTTTAAAAAGCACCTTTAGGTTCTCGCCTGTAGCAACTTTTAAGAGGTCAAAGGCTGGAGAGATTACAAACAGTAATTTTAAAATGGCTAAGGTCGGGAAACATGATTGTAGACGAGGGCTTATTTTTTCAGTGCCACCAGTTTGCCATTTGGCGAAACAAGCGGTGTTTGGTTTGTAATCATGTCCACAGAAGCCGTCATTTGATGAGAGTACCAGCAACTTCCAAATGGAGTTACCTGCCTGAATCAATAGGGCTGTGAAGGTGGGTACGAATGCACGCACAGATGCAGAGGTGGTGAATTTAGCAGGTTCTGACCAGTTCTGGAGAACCAGTAGCAGAAAATTTTGAGTAGTTTGGAGAACCGGCAAATCCCACCTCTGACTGGAGATATTACAGTCTCCTTCCCCTGCCACGCCCACCAAGCCAGGCCCACAGAACCCACAGTAAAAAAAATTGAATCCCACCACTGCACAGACGTAAACTGAAACAGAAAAAAACAGCCGCCGCCTTCAAAATAAAAGCAACCCATGCAGGCAAACAGGGACAGCCCAAAGGCTGGATGTGGCCAGAGAGCCATAAAATGCCCAGGTCTGCAGTAGGGGCTGGTTATTAAACCGTTCCCACTTATTCCTGAGTAGGAAAGCGTATGTTCTATTTTCTTGTGTATCTGCAGGGGGGGGGGGGGGGGGTTGGGGCTATGGGGTTTTTTCCTTTTCCAGAACTAAGCCTTAGAAATAAACGTTCAGATTCCCGTCTTTAACCAGGTCAGAGAGGTTTTGGGATTAATGGTGTCCATGCAAACCCAACGCTTGCATTAACAAGGAGCAACGTTTTAAGAGGTGTGACACAGCGGGGGCAGCTGAACCAAGTTGCAAGAGGCCTAGACCCTAGCCTAGATTAAACCAAGAAATAAACCAACAAACCCTTTAGGGGCAGAATATGGGGAAGGGGGCAAAGGACCCCCAATCGAAGCTAACTAGGAAATATTCCCGAGTAGTTATTTTCAGGACCTAAAAGCCAATGCATAAGCGCACCAACGTGCCTACCGTCCCTGTCCTATTGTTTCTCTTATTCTTCTTTTATTTTTCTTATATGTACCCATCTCATGTATTCACAACTATGTATACACTTATACTTATTATCTTGTAAACAATTGACAAATCAAATAAATAAATAAAATAAATAAATAAATAAAACAATTCAAACTGGGGGGGAAACCAACGTCTCACAGCCTTTCCTAGCTCCTAGCTCAAAGGACAAGGGCGTTTGAGAGCTGTAAAATACTTTCACGGTGAATTGAGAGCGCTATAAAATACAGCGGGGCTTAACAGCTCACCCGCAGGATGCTAATCCAGCATAGCGCTGAGTACTCATTTTGTTCCAAAGTGGGTGGAAGGTCACAAAGAGAAAAGTCTAGAAAATGCTAGAAACGTCCCTGGTTTCAACGGGCAACTATTCAACGGGCAGGGATGATGAACTGTAATTCCCCCACAGTTCCTTCCCTCCCTCCCTCTGTAGATACGCCACAAAAGCATATTTGGCAGAAAGGCTCCCTGGGTGGGGAAAAAAACCCTGTTTCGTGGAAATCAGCGATAGCACTTTGCAACCTGGCGGTGCCCACTCTTATTCCAGGCAGTCCTCGACTTACCACTGAGCCCCAAATTTCTGTTGCTAAGGGACACAGTGAAGTGAATTTTGCCCCAGCTGTTAAATGAATCACTACAATTATTAAATTAACTTAACAAGGTCGTTAAGTGAATCTGGCTGTTTGTCAGAGGGTCGCAAAAGGGGATCAGGTGACACCCCACCCCACCCCACCCCCGAACACGGCAACCGTCATAAATATGAGTCAGTTGCCAAGCATCCGAATTTCGATCCCATGGCCACGGGGATGCTGCAATGGTCGTAAGTAGGATAAGCGGTGATGCCTCACTTTTTTCAGTGCCACTGTGACTTCAGTGCCAACAGTCACTAAATGAACTGTTGTAAGTCGAGGACTATCTGTATTAACGTTCAGAAGAAAAGAGTATTTTGCTTTCATGAGGCAAGAAGCAGGATTTACAGGGGAAATTTGGCAGAATACAGGGAGTCCTCGACTTACAACGGTTCACCTAGCGACCATTCGAAGTTACGGTGACACTAAAAAAAAGTGACTTACGACTGTTTTTTCATGCTTATGACCAAATAAGTTAAATAGCCTTTTGGTCAAGTAGTCAAAATTCAGAAGTTTGGCAACTGACTCGTATTTATGACAGGCGCAGCGTCCCTGGGTCAAGGGATCCCCTTTTGCGACCTTCTGACAAGCAGTCAACAGGGAAGTCGGATTCACTTAACGACTGTGTTACTAACTTCATAACTGCAGTGATTCATTTAACAACTCTGGGCAAGAAAACGGGACAAAACTCACTTAGCAACTCTTTCACGGTGTCACATGATCCCCTTCTGTGACCTTTGTATGAGCCAAGTCGATGGGGGGGGGAGCCAGACTCACTTAACAACTGTGTTACTAACTTAACAACTGCCAGGATTCACTTAACAACGGTGGCAAGGAAGGAGGTAAAACGGAGCAAGTCTCGTGTCAACTCATAAAACATTCCTATGCCTGTTTTAGTAGTTGCCATTTTAAAAAAAGGGGGGGGGGAGGAGGAGAAAGGAAATCTGGAAGAGCAGTTGAAAGCGAAAGTACATTCCAACTCTTAACTTTAAAAGATTGTAACTAAAATACCGGAGCTTTTGCCCACGAATATATTTAATTGGAGAACGCGATTGATGACATCCAGCCCGTGAACGGGCTCGATGGGAGAATCTGGTTTAGGAGACACCCAGGGGGGAAAACAGGGCCACAGGGGACTGTAAATGACGTAGGCCAGAGTTGGCTTCACACAGGGCAGGGCCAGTATGTCGCCTCTAATGAGACCTTTGAAGTTTTTTGAAGTTTGGCTCAAGAATCACGATTTGATTAGAGCGATTGCTGGAATCCTGACAACTCGCTTAACAAATGCCTCACACAGCAACATATATTTATATGGGGTATTTATTTATATGGGGTAGAGTCTCCTGCTTGGGCTGGGGGTTGGACCAGGTGACCTACAAGGTCCCTTCCAACTCTGTTCATCTGCATCTGTGTCTAAGACAACTCACCCAAGATGAGCCCGACCATGGAGCTCAGATATCCGGTGCCGCTTCCTAGGTTTAAGAAAGAAAGTCCAGGCTGCAGATCCAGGGCTTCCATGACTTCGGAGTAAATGCAGGGAGCAGAGAGATGGATGTTGCCATGCTTCCAGGCCAAATCTTTATAGGCGTTCTCCTTGAATTCCTCCAGGTAGTAGTCAGCCCGGTCGACCGCCCTGAAGGCCTGTTCTACCAGCTCCGACCGGATGTACTGAGCCTCCTTCAGGTTGTCGATCAACTCGTCGTTGTCTTCTCCCGCGCTCACCGCGCCTCCCATCGTCCACGCCGGTTGCAAAAAAAAAAAAAAAAAATCAAGCCTGGATTACAGAAGGAGCAGAAAAAGTATTGTAAGCGATTAAGTCTGCAGAGCAGAGGTCCCCAAACTTGAATTCTGGGAATTGAAGTCCATAAGTCTTAAAGTTGCCCAGTTTGGGGACCCCTATTGTAGAGATTCTCAAATCATCCAGGTCAGGGTTGTCCTAAAGGTCCTTTTTTTCAAGAGGCAACTGGACTTTCTGGTTTTTGTCTTTTGAAGATGTTTCGCTTCTCATCCAAGGAGCTTCTTCCACTCTGACAGGCAAGTGAGTAGGATGAGGAGCGAAACGTCTTCAAAAGAAAAAAAAAATCCTTCGGTTCCCACCCATCCAGTCAGAGTGGAAGAAGCTTCTTGCATGTGAAGTGAAATGTCTTCAAAAGAAAAAAATCAGAAAGTCCAGTTGCCTCCTGAAAAAAGCACCTTTGGGACCAGGGGTGGGATTCAATTTTATTTTACTACCGGTTCTGTGGGCGTGGCTTGGTGGGCGTGGCAGGGGAAGGAGACTGTAAAATCTCCAGTCAGGGGTGGGATTGGACGGTTCTCTGAACTACTCAAAATTTCCACTACCGGTTCTCCAGAACTGGTCAGAACCTGCTGAATACCACCTCTGTTTGAGACATATTATTGGCAACCATCTGGAGGAAGAGTTAAGTAGATACCAGGGGCATATACAGGGAGCTCTCGACTTACAACATTTCATTTAGTGACCATCGGTTATTGGGTCAGTATGAAGTAGTTTCTCTGAATGTGGCCAAATTCTGCTATGCTGCATGTAAAATTAGGCAAACTTTAATTGCCCCACTGTTAAATGGGATAAAACAACTGCAATGATTCACGTAACAACATTTCACTTAGCAACACAAAATTTGGGGCTCAATTGTGGTCGTTAAGTCGAGGACTCCCTGTATGTACAAAACACACACCCAAACCTTGTCAATTACAGGTAGTCCTTGACTTATAGTAGTTCATTTAACGACTGTTCAAAGTTACAACGGCGCTAAAAGAAGTGACTTATGACCGTTTTTCACACTTCCGACCTTTGTAGCAGCTTTATGATTGGTTGATCACAACTCAAGATGCTTGGCAACTGTTTCATACTTATGACCGCAGCTGTGTCCCAAGGTCACGTGGGACACAGCCAAGTCAATGGAGAAGCCCGATTCACTTAACAGCCATGTTACGAACCTAACAACTGCAGTGAGTCGCTTAACAACGGCGCCAAGAAAAGTCGTAAAATGGGGCAAAAATCACTTAACAAATGACTTGTTTAGCAACAGAAATTTGGGGCTCAATTTTGGTCATAAGTCGAGGACTCCCTGTACGTACAAAACACACACACACACACACACACACACACACACACACACACACACAAATCTTGTCAGTTACAGCCCTCTTTTTCTCACCAGAGATTTCCTCTTAAAAATCTCACAAATACGGAAAAATGAATTCCGCTTGACTTTTGGTCCTGAATTTTTCTCCCACGAGAGCCTGGCCTTTTGTGGGGATCGTACGTAGTCCTCGACTTACAAGCACAATCAAGCCCAACATTTCTGTTGCTACACGAGACATTTGTTAAGTGAGCCTTGCCCCGTTTTATACGCTTTCTTGCCACTGTTGTTAAGTGAATCGCCACAGTTGTTAAGTTAGTAACACGGTTGTTAAGCGAATCCGGGTTTCCCCACTGACTTTTCTCGTCAGAAGGTCGCCAAAGGGGAATCACATGATCCCCAGGACACGGCAACCGTCATAAATAGGAGTCTGTTGTCAACTGTGTGATTGTTGATTGTGTGACCAAGGGGATGGCTTCAAGGGTCGTCGGTCTGAAAAATGCTCATGTCCCTTTTTTTCCCCAGTGATGTTGTGATTTTGAATGGTCACTAAATGAACCGTTGTAAGCTGAGGACTACCTGTAACAAGTTGCGCTCTGAAGCCTGGTTCTTTCCTAAATGCAGCCGCTCTTGTTGGCTCAAGTACGGTACGTTGGAGATGAAGCTGACCGAGGAATGACTCACCAGGGTCCTGTCTAATTCTGCAGTTGATGAACTCTTGAGCAAAACAATACTGATCCATACTGGGACTGTACTGGGAGGTAGAAAACCACCATTCCTTGTTTCTGTGGTTACCTAAACAAACAAACAACCCCCTACAGTGCAGAATTCTCCACTACACTACCTCGACTTACGACCGTAATTGAGCCTGGAATTGATCAGTCTGAAAATAGTAATTGGCCAACAGAGGTCAAAGAGGGGTACACAATTCTACTGTCATGCCCCTGTCGGAATCTGATTCGGAGGGGAGGCCAAGCATCTGACAGGTAGTGGGAGTGGGGCTCCATTGGCTGTGGAAGAAACGGGGGAAGGGCAAAGTCCGGTTGGGCAGAGCAGGGGAGAGGTAGAGCAAGGGAAAGGGAATTTGGAGGAAGATCCAGGCCCACCCCTCTCCATCCTAGGGCACGCAGGGAGGAACGGAGAAGGGAGCAACATGAGTTGTGTGGCTTACGGGGGAGAAAAGGGCCCTGACTCCTTTCATTAGCTGCAGCTGGGAACACAGCGTTTAAAAAGGGAAGATGCGCGCAGCAAACTGTTGGGAGCAAATCGGGAATTATCTGGTATCGTCAGGGTTATCTGTGTTCCTGGCGTCTTCCCAACTGTGTGTGTTTTGCTGGCTTTTCAAGTCTGCAATTCCTTCTCTTGCCCTATCAAATTAATTACTGCAGCGTAGTTTATTTGGATTTTTAGTTACAGTTTGTATGTACTTTGTTTTCGGACTGAATTTCCTCCACTTAAAGACTGTTCTCCTGGGAGAGTTTTTCTCCAGCCGAAGGTAACCTGGACATTGGAGGCAAAGTTGGAGATAATAAAGGGACTCTTCTTGCTTATTTGACTGTGTTGTCTTTGTGCCACGCCCCTTTGGGTCATCACATCTACTATACAAAACCTGGTATGTGTTCATTGTTGCTTAGATCCTGGCCTTAAAACAAAGGCAACCTCAAATCCAATATTTCAACCAGAAATCCTCTTAAACAAAACAATCTTAAATAATTATCTTAACTGGGGTCATTGTAAGTATCACAAAAATCTTACATACTTTTTTTCATGCCAGTTCTACTGAGCGAGCACTTTGTTAATAACCAAGTGACACTTAGATAGATGGTTAATAATACATTTAGGAAAAAAGAGGAGGGGAATTTTAATTATAGTATTTTGCTCTTCTAATAAGACTTGGAGAAGCAGGCAACCTGGTCTTTAGTTCCCTGTTTAACATGTTTTACTTTGGCACCTGTTCACGAAAACTGATAATCCATTTGTATATAGCAAAACTGTTATCAATAAAATAAAACACACTGCAAAATCTAAATGGGAAATTACCACTTCAGCAGAGTTCTTACTGAACACTTACAAATAATAAGTGTTAGAAGGAACAGATCAGACATCCAGCCCTTGCTTATCAATGGAGACCGAGTGGAGCAAGTGGCCAGTTTTAAGTTTCTGGGTGTTACCATAAAAGAGGACCTGACCTGGGGGTGCTCACATTGCAGCCCTGGTCAAAAGGGCCCAGCAGAGATTATACTACCTGAGAAAACAACAACTGAATGAAAAACTGCTGGTGACCTTCTACCGCTGCACCATAGAGAGTATCTTAACTTACTGCACCTCTGTATGGTTTGCCAATTGCACAGATAGGACAGCGCTCCAGAGGGTTAGCATCATTGCCCAGAGGATGTTTGGTTGCCCTCTCCCCTCTTTGGAAGAGCTTAATAGCTCCTGCTGCCTTAAGAAAGTTCAAAACATTCTCAAAGATCCATCTCATCCTGGGCACCCCTTTTTTGAATTATTACCATCTGGCAAACGGTACAGGATAATAAAAACAAGGACAAATAGGCTGAAAAACAGCTTCTATCCCAGGGCTCTGTTGAATTGTACTGTATAGTACATGAAGATGGTATTTAATTTCGTTGTAGAATGTGCAATGACAATAAACTAAACTAATGGTGTTGTATTTAGGTGGATTTTGGATAATCTGCAAAACAACTACAAAAAAACAACAACCATGCACCAAGATACCCATTTGTTTAGATTTATACACCAACCTTTCTGCAGGAGATCAGATTTAACTGTTTCTTATCATAACAACAACCTTAAGAGGTGGGATAAACTGAAAGTGTAGGATTGGTCCAAAGTCACCAAGAGAGTTTCTGCAGATGGAGTTGAATCTGAACTATAGGTGGTCCTTGACCTACGACCGTAATGGAGTCTTGCCCATCACGGTTGTAAGTCATGATGGTCATAAAACCTGACCGCATATCACATGGCTGGCCTGATTTTGTGACCTTTTTACAGAGGTAGTTAAGCAAATCCATAGCCCACCCCAGTCATTAAGCAAATCCACAGCCATTAAGTTAAGCCTTGGCTGTTAAGTGAACAAAGGTTCGCCCTGTAAGTGCCAGTTTTCAGCAAAACCATCATAAAACATGGTCACGTGACCGCAGGACACTGTACATGGCCCTAAAGGCAGCCATGTTGCCAAGCATGTGCCATTTGGTGGAGGGGTGACTGTTGGATCTTTGAATCGGGGGGGGAGGGAGCAAGCAGCCCCGAGGTAGCTTTGTCATAACTTTGAGTATAGGCAGTCCTCAACTTACGACCCCAATTGGGCCCAAAATTTATGCTGTTAAGTGAGAAATTTGTTAGAGTGAGCTTTGCCCCATTTTACGACTTTTCTCGCCACATGTATCAAGTGAATCACTGTAGTTCTTAAATTAAGTGACACGGTTGTTAAGTGAATCTGGCTTCCCCACCGACTTTGCTTGTCAGAAGGTCGCCAAAGAGGATCACGTGACCCCTGGACACTGCAACCCGTCATAAATGTGAGTCAGTTTTCAAGCATCTGAATATAAAGCAGGAGACCACAGTATGTGTGTGTGCGCACGCTGACAGTCAAAAGTGTGAAAAACAGCCATAAGTCACTTGTTTTGGTGCTGTTGAAACTTCGAATGGCCACTAAATGGACTGTTGTAAGTCGAGGACTACCTGTAGTTGCTAAACAACTGGTCGTAAGTGGAAGACCACCGGTACTGGTGGCAGACTTAAAAGGCAGGCAGTAGGCTTGGTTTGTAACTGAAGAGTGTAACAGAGTGGGAAGGGACCCGGTTTCTAAGCTGTGAGATAAATACCTGCATTTTTGGGGACCTGACCTCCCCGTCTGAGCATGAGCAGATGCAGAGCTCAGACAAGGGATAATCATGGCTTGAAATGCGGAGGCTGTGAAGGATTTGTGGCCTCTGACAGAACCTGCCCCAGGAGCTCTTACCTGCCCCAGAGATAATCATATAAGCAGATCATCACCTACACGCTTCTGATAATAGCTAAATTCAACATTCAGGCCCAGAAAAGTATCTCGGACCGTCTTTAGGGATGGGTCTGCCCAGGCCAGAAATGCTGTGCTTCTCCAGCTTTTCACGAGAAAAATCTTGCCCTCTTCTGTACACAATAGAATTCCTTACGCTACTTGGCTCGAAATTCTCGGTTTGGGTCATTTAGAACTGGGTCGCTTGCGGTCAGATGTAGATATTGCATACAAAATTATACGTAGTCATGTTTTACCCGTAAATGGCCTTTTCTGCTTTAATTGCATTAACGCACACACACGAACAAACTGCTTTAAACTCAATGTAAATCGTTCTAAACTTGACAGTAAAAAATATAGTTTCTGTAATAGAGTTGTCAAAATCTGAATCAGTTGTCTCAGCTACAAATTTTCAGTTTCAGTCATAAATTGACTTCCGTAGTTCTTACTTCATACTTAATTGGTCAATAGAAGGGGCATAAGTGCACTAATGTGCCTATCATCCCTGTCATTGTATTTTTATTCTTTTATTCTTGTTCTTGTTTTTGTTTGACAAATTCCAATAAATAAATTAAATAAAATCTGGTCCTTGATTTGATTTGATTTAATTTTATCATCCAACTGAATAGGGCTGGAAGGGTGCCGGCTACAAGGCTCCCTTGATGGATCAATTCAGCAGTCTGTCTGGCTTAAATATTGTTTTTGTCACCGATGCCAGTTGGATGCCCTGGAACACTGGCCAGATACGCAAAAAGGGTGATTTATTTATTATTCCATCTTTATTTCTATAAACAACTCAAGGCAGTGAACACATCCAAGACTCCTTCCTTCTCCTATTTTCTCCAGAACACCAACTCTGTGAGGTGGCTTAGGATGAGAAAGAGCAATTGGCTCAAGGTCACCCAGCTGGCTTTCATGGCAAAGGCGGGACTAGAACTCACCATCTCCTGGTGATTGGCTCAAAGTCA